ATGTCTAAGCTTGGTTCATGACGTTTTGGATATGTCAAAATCGACCAGCATTTACTGCTGGAGCCATCTATTGACAAACAGCGGGAACTTAGTTGCGCACCTAATATAATCGCGAACAGTATTAGCGCAGTCGGAACGCTTCAGGAGGAACCGTTTCGACTGCGCTACAACGAGGAAGCGGATGTGCAACTGCTGCGCTAAGCATTACCTTGCACATTCCGCATTTCGGACTTCGAGCCGAACCACACCAAATAATTACCAAATATGGTAATCTTCTTGTCGCCAGGCACTCCCTCCGACAAGACTACACAATATTATAAAAGAGCGGAGAAGACCGCTCGCCACAGACTTAACACTTCGGTCTCTTGCCCGCGACATACGTACCCGACACGCAGCTTGCGCATTACCATAAGATTTCGGGAATAGTAATTAAACACGTCTAGTACGATTGATAATAAAGCCTTTTATATAAATTACAATTAGCGGCTACAGACTTTTACTAAATCCTACCCACCGCCACACACCCTGCTGCGCCCGCAGCACTGATTCCGAACTCTTTTCACGTCCCGGCAACACGGGGCACGACATAATAATCAACATCATGTCAAGAATTTGCAACATAATTTGTATATCATTTGTATGCATCTGGTGCTCATGTCATGATATCACGTAATGATCTTTAAAAAAGTATTAAATTGGAGTCATAGTATGAAGTCACATTGTGATGAAACATGATCATCACGTATTTCTATCTGGGGTATGTCGCTTTAGGAGACCTATGTCGCTTTTGGCTACTTTCCTCTACGAATAAAAAGATCCTGAAGAGTTCTTAATTAATTTAATTTTAGATCCATTTTTCATAAGAAAAATGAGCTCATTTTTAACACTAAATTATTTATTTGAAAGAGCTTACAAGGAGCTTTTTATTCTGAATTCTTTACGAACTTTTTTTAAACAAATGTGCCATCTGGGAAGGTAGAACAATGTTCTTCAAAATTTTTCTGTTTAAAGCATCCACACTTTCAGGATGTACAAGCTGCGGAACTTCTGGATTAGGCAAATATTACGCTACCCAGATAGAAATGCGTGATGATCATGTTTCATCACAATGTTACTTCATACTATGATTCCAATTTGATACTTTTTTAAAGATAATTACGTGATCTCATGACATGAGCACCAGATGCACACAAATGATGTACAAATTATGTTGCAAATTCTTGACATAATATTGATTATTATTATTAAATGAGATATTTTTGTGACATCATAACATGTCTACATTCTGAGGCGCATATGAGCCCGCATTGGTGTCTATTCTTATCCTCATGTCTTGAAGATACATGAATACAATATGAGCTCAGAATAAACACATTTTCCTATCTGGGTAACTACCAACTTGAGATTTTACATTAAAAATTTTTTGTTTGTTTTCGTCACATATCGAGCAATGCTCCTATTTAATTTTGCACGTACTTTCATAGCATAAAAGCATTTGTAATTCTGTCTAATCAATACGACGTAAACTTTGCAAAAAAATGTCAATGTTCTATCGGTAAAGTTTTCAGCTTCAGCATCCCCTTAAGTCCATTTTATGCGACTTCGAATGTATACATAAATTCACAATAGAAAAGAAGTAATTAATAAGAATATACAAAGAAACTTGGCATAATAAATAAGCGTATGAGATTATAGAAAATACATCATACATTTGAAACAAAGTTTACCAGAAAAGAGTCAGAAATAAGATCGTCGTATTTTCACTACGATGGCGTCAACCGAATAATGATTACGAAGTATGACAAAATATGTCGCTATTGTTTGCCTTGAAACGATAATTTTAATATTTATTTTTTGAAAAGTTTTATATAGTATAAGACTAAATACTCAACAATTTATATGAATTTCGTATATTTTTTTAATTAAAATTTTCAAAATATTTTTTTGAAGATATATTTTTGCTGAATACAATTTTTCTAAATATTTTTTAAAGATACATTTTTGCTGAATTTATTTTTGTATTTTTACATTTTTATTAAATAATAGGTTTTTTTTAGGTTTTTTTTATAATCATAGGTTTTTTAGGTTTTTCAACATATTTTTTACTGTTTTGTAAAAACAATAAGTTTTTTGGGAATTAAATAATTTGATGAAAAGAAACATATTGTAATCTATATATATACGTAAATTCAAGAGGCAAATCTGCATTTTAAAACGATATAAACGTTATATGTGCAGCATGAAAAATAATTTGTTTGTTTATATGTAGTATATATTGGTAGCCAGTAACATTTCCAAGATTATAGTCAAATGTTTTATTGTTCAACAAAATGTAACAACTGATATAATAGCATTGGATGTAAGTTGAATGAATCAAGATGATGTCATGTATGATATATACTTGGCTTTTTCAATACGGTTTGATATTTTTATGCGACTGTTTACACAGCTGATGCTTCACACAGCCGATGATTCAATAAAAGAACTTAACTTCTGGAAATTAAACAAAAACAAGTTCTCTTATTATGTATCGACTGAATTTCAAACTACATTGAGAAAAAGTAGCCAAACTATACTGAAGGAAACCAAGTTTACACATATATTGTATATTAGACAAAATCTTAAAACTTGAGAAAGTTTAGTGCAGTTATTACGAACAGAAGCTGAACATAGCATACACGATATAATGCTGTTATAATACTAATTAATAGTTGATTCATTACAATGAAACCGTACTTAATGGTAGTCTATTTAAACATAAGTGTATATCGATTAGACCGCTTCAACGCCTTACTATAAACAATAAACCAACTAAACTGATAATATTACAGTATTATCAAAATATAATTTTTCCTACTTTCTACGATATGTGCATAGTAATATCAGCGCATATCGATAAGTTCAAAATGTTTCTTACGTAGTTTCTGATAAAAAGGTTGACAATATATAAATTAACAACTTATATTACATACATAGAATATATAACTAATATGCAAACTCCGCTCATAAACATTAACGCTGTGTAAAGCAGGTACGATTAACTTAAATTAACTATTTGTCCACACATCATAGCGACGTATTTACAGTTACATAATATGGCAAAATTGCGTTAATTAGGCTGAGCTGTTACATGTAAGAAGTAACTTCGCAAATAATCGTAGCTGTGTAATACAAGGCCTTATATATCCGATGATAATACGTAAAACCTATCCATCTTATATTACAGTGCAAATCGCATTGACTCTATTTCGCAAAGGATAATCGAAGGTGATGAACCGATTACCGTTATTACGGTATATAATAATAACATTCTGTAACGTAACAACGTGAACAAAGAGACCACGAATGATAATGTTAGATAGCCTCAACGGGCCGAGATTACTCGTCGCATATTTCTTTGCTTTGGTATTCCTTTGCATACTGTAGCCTTGCATCTCTGTAAGTCAAATAATTAGACAGTTTAATGATTCCGACCACCACAACCCTTATCCTAGATATTTATATAAAAGTACAAAACATATACATATATGTATATATGTGTGTGTGTGTGTGTGTATATATATATATATATATATATATATATATATATATATATATATATATATATATATATATATATATATATATATATATATATATATATATCGTGATAATTATCGTGTAACATTTTACATGTTAAATAGTACGAGTAAGTTACATTAGATATTAATCAAATATTTAAAGTGCATTGATAACTTTTAGGACCAGTTAAGAACCATTGGCAAGAAACATTAATCGAATACAGCAAAGAAGTGATAGCAAACGTATATATGTATTCAAGATCCTTTCAAAAGCAAACAGATGTACTAAGATGTACCATATTTTGTATAACAGTTAATTGACTTTTGTAAGTGACAGCACGGTGTAATTCATTTTATGCAAACATGTGAAAAGAACGTCAATTTATCAAACTTAATAGCTTCCTTCATAAAAACCATTCTTAACACAGATATCAAGTTACGAAAAGAATTAGACCGACGCCACGTGATTATTGTTTATATAAGTGTCTCGGGCTCGCACGTCGCAAAATATGACAGTACGCAATAATATATTAGTTTGTAAGTTATAGCAATGACCAAAATAGAATTGTTAGATGTTGTATTAAAAATAACATTTCAATTTTAATAAAAAAACAATAATATCTATATAGGTTATGAAATAGTTTAACTGATGTCGTATAATTGGTAATCATTTGAAAAAATCATATTGCAGAGAAATTTTATGAAGAAAAAAGATAAATCCATCGCGCGCGCGCGCGCGTGTGTGTGTTAAGGCATGACACGTTTACACGGACGATATCCTACCTGAGATTTTAATTGCACTTTTACTTATTCTTTATTGCACGTATAAGCGCGGTGCATTTGAGCTTAAGAGTGAATATTTATTGAAAAATTGTTATAATTATATTTTTAATATTACCATTACATTTTGACGACATAGTTGTGAAAATAATTTTTGGTCATTGCAATCTTAATACTAGCTACTACCAAGTGCATCACACTTCCTAGGATCTATCGAAGAATTTCCAAGTAGACGTTGAATATGTTAGTATCTGAACAAATAAACCACGATAAAAGCACATCGTAGATTAACATAGAACTACGATTAATACAAAATAATCAAAGCTCTCCCAATCGGAGAGCAAGCCGTTCATATACAAAACTTTAGCTATTCGTTACTTCGGTTGATTTCTTCAAAAATCATAGCACATTACTACGTCTACGAGGATACTTCGTCATACATGCTACTTGACCACTCTTTACGACGTAGTAAAAATAGTGATTCGTGTGTATCTCTACCCTTATAGAAATATTATACTAAGAATCATTGATAATTACTTATTTTCAGTATTAAAAATACTGGATAATAAGTAATTATCAATGATTCTTAGTATGATATTTCTATAAGGGTACACAGTGACTAATTGATTACACCACGACGAGCATACGCACTTGACACGATTCGAGATGTACAGTGAATATGAGAGTAGAAGAGGCATCGTTGCAAATAGGCGGTGCATGTCGTGATTTTTGCCGGCAAACTCGCGAATAGCATTACGAATATATTGGAATGTGTGCGTGTGTGCATGTGTGTGTCTGTGTGTGTCTGTATGTGTGTGTGTGTGCGCGCACATATAAGTGTAACTGTAAGCTCTTGAGTTGCCATCGATTTCGTATTTTCAAAGTCGTCAACTCACCAAGAGTAGTTGGAGAGAAGGAATGTATCATACGCGAAGAAAGTCGCGTAAATTGCGCGTCTCTACGGTAACTCAAGCTGCCGCGACTTCGTCGCGTCATTTAGCAGCGTTTGCGGCACGTCGACGTGTTCTATTGACGTGTGTTCCGCGAGTCGGAATTGTCGAGTGTTCCTATGGGACGAAACGCGAGATATAGCGATGCGTCGTATAAGAACCATGATGTTTGAATTGCACGTACGCCACGTGTGCAAGCAGTTATACACAACGTATGTGGGACCAAGAAAGTCGTATGATCGCATGGGCGCATGATTAGGCACTACGTGCTCTTAGGCTAACGACCGACGCGAGGTTGGCTCCGACGGTGGGCTGCGGTACTTGGCGCGAATGTGCAGGAAGCTGTCGTGCTTGTTGCCGTGAGCAGGTGGTGGTGTGCTCTCGCGGTTGAGGACCCTCACCTGACAGGGGTCGTGCCTTGCCAAGAAATGCTCCAGGGTATCCCACCCGCCGCCTACTCTCACCATCATATGTCTTCCCTTGAGAAGCTGCGAACACGTCAGCGATACAGTTATTAGTGACTGACACGCTTACGATAGGCGACATATCGAGAATGAAGAGAGAAATCTCGAAATTCGAGTAGCTCACAGACATTTATATAGAGTAAAAATCTAGTAGCCGACACTGCTCATTTTCGCCACTGTTGCGCTGATTTCATCAAATATTAACGTATATGGAGATTTAAAGTAAATGAATAATAATAAGTAATAATAAATAAAGAATAATAAATAATAGTTAATAAATAATTCCTCATATAATTAATAAATAATTCACCATTAATAAATCCTTATGCATACACCTTAATATTAAAATCCGAGCGAGAATGCCAACAGGTGAGCGCTGTAACGAATGTCAGCTACTGACATTTTCTCTTACTAGACTATTAACTTTCTTAGTTATTATACATAAAAATTGATCTAAAAATTATATATTATATATGATAAGCTAACATTTGCGTATGCATAGGTGATATAAAAGACGTTATATGATATTGCCGACGTCTACATGTCTACATACTTATAAAAATGACATTTTAAATTTGTACGCGCGTGCCTAATATATATTATTTTAAACTCAATCAATCTTTTTCAGACGTAACTATCATCCCACTTACACGACGCATGCGTATGAGTTTCGTATATATTTTTCAGATCCATGTATTTTATGTATAAAATAACTAACTTGTAAGTTAGTAATATAATTCTAGGATGTGTGTGTGTGTGTGTGTGTGTAATGCTACTTCTTGCGAGAGATCTTAAAAAATTCAATGACCAACAACTCTACGGCACACAAGAAGTAATACTGAATATTTCATCGAATATAAATACATTTCATTAGTTTACATAAAGGAAAAGGAAGGAAAAAAAGGTATATTTCTGAAACTGTCTTATGTTGCAGTAACACTAATTGACAGTAACATTATTAGTATATTGACAGTAAAATTATTAGTAATATTATTGTTATAATTTCTCACTCAACAATGTAACTGTTAAGTACAACATATGTTATATTATACTTACATTGAGTTGAATAGAAAATTATAATATTGATACAATGTTATTGTTAATTGGTTAATCGCTAGGAATGAGTATACTTACCCTTATAAAAACATTACGTCCAGCAATATGATAGCGACCTTCACCGACTTTGCGTACTTTCAGCTTGGAACACTTCTCTGACGGACACTGACAAAGTCTCTGAACTGCTTCGGTGGCTCTTCGCACCTGCAGACAAAGAGAGATAGAAAAACCACTACGAGAGATACTAAGATGTATTTAAGACTAAAGGATGCGGAATATATTTAGACAGATGTTTTTATGCATCGGCCGACTTCGTTGTTACCAGACGGACTAAGAACGATCGACTGTTACGCGAGATAAATTACAGTATGTTTGATAAGAGCGTGTACGGCAAAACTTTTTCCTCGAAACCGTTAGAGGGGGGATATGAACGCGAGCCAATAGCGGGGCTCTCCTCCCAAGATGCTTTGTCTAGAAAGCCTTAGTTATCGTTTGACTTTCGTCACAAAAGGGCGTATTTCAACATGAATGCCGCGTACGCATCACGTTACGAAGCTGTGTTTCTATGTTCGCATCCGAAAGGACCAAAAATGTCGCGCGGAGCGGCTACTAAGTATATGAAGAAGTCTAAGGCGTTTGTGAGTAAGTGGGTGAAACGTTATTCCGAGGTCAAAAACGTTGATGACTTGCCGGATCGTGGCTCTGTGCAGAAAACGACGAAAAAGGAGGACAAAATGATTTTACGGGTGTTTGAGAAGAATCCTTGTTTATCATTGCGTGGCGGGCAAGCGGTTTTACTTAAAAAGGGTCTAAATATATCATGTCATACTATAAGAAGACGTTTACTGGCTCATAAAGTGAAATTTCGAAGCACGATAACGAAACCGTTGCTGTCTGAAAAACACGTCGAAAAAAGACTTGCTTGGGCAAAAGAAAATTTGGACCGCTATTGGGGCAACGTAATTTTTTCAGATGAAGCTTCGTTTTGGGCAAAGTCTTCTATCAGACGTGTCTGGTCTACCCAGGCCAATAGACTCATCGAGCGGACCGTTAAACATCCGGTAAAGGTGCACGTCTGGGGCTGTTTCTCAAAACAGGGATTTGGCACTTTACACATCTTTACACAAAATTTGGATGCTGCTAAAATGGTCCAAATATATGAGAGAGCTTTATTACCATCTGCCCAAAGGTGGTTTACGAGGAAAAATGAAAATTGGCTACTGCAAGAGGACAATGATCCGAAACATCGGAGTAGACTTTGTACTGCGTGGAAACAAGAAAATGACGTTGACGTACTGGATTGGCCTTCACAGTCGCCAGATGCAAATCCAATTGAAAATGTTTGGGCGCTTATAAAGTTTAAGCTCCGAGGAAAGAAAATATGGACCGTCAAGCAGTTAATTCGACAGATTCGATTTATATGGAGATCTTTGTCTGAAGATTATGCTGTAAAATTAGTAGAAAGTATGCCTTGGAGATGCCAGTCAATTATTGATAATGGAGGCGACTGGACAACTTATTAATAATAAAGCATCGCAGTCTATATCATGAATAATGTGTACAAATTTTTTCAATTTATGTATTATCCTAAGTTTTTGAGTTTTGCCGTACACGCTCTTATCAAACATACTGTACTTTGACGTGTCGTTGCAGCAAGACGCGGCGAATGCTAAAGATACTTCCGCCGCTTGGTATGTGAAAATCCGACACGCACGTACAGATGCGCCCGTGGAAAAGTGTACGAGAAAACGCACGATCCTCATTGTCCGGGTCTTATTCTCGTCCTTCCTCTTTCTGTATACCTCATTCCATGATAATGATTATAATACAGCATGACGGCCGTAGTAGCCCAGAGAGCGAAGGTTTTCTCAAAGATACGCGTGAGATACGCGACTAAAGCAGAATGTGTAGGGGACGTTGGCGTGGTAACATTAGCATTAATAAAGAGGATATAAATTATTCAATTTTCCGTTATGCATATGCATCTTTCCATGTAACACAGAAGGAAAAACAACTCTGTATCGCGCAATGTTATTTTCGTTTCTGGATGTAGGGATTATATTCACGAGGGGAATGACATTCTTCCCGACGCTTTATTTTCGCCGGAAATTAAACTCATAGAATTGCTACAGAGTCGCGGTGAGTTCGAAAACTCCATCGAATTCCCGAAAAAAACCCATTATCGAAGTTTTTCACGCAAAAGTAAGACATATGTTCGATATTTCGTTAATAAAATATTTTGTTAATAAGACGATACCTTGCGGTCGAGTTCTGTTATCGGGCCGATGTGCTCTGGTGGTTCAGCTGGTGACGGTGATGGCGAGTTCGACGGTGACGGGAGTTCGTCCGGATCCTCGGCACTACCGCGGGACCAGTCGTCCTCGGTTGTGTCACTTGGCACGCCGTCACTTCCAGTTGGTCCATTATCGCTCACGGACCTTCGCATTTCGGGCTCGTGCGTGGCGCCGGTTACCGGATCCAACCATCGAGCGGCCGTAGTCGTTACTTCGGACGCCGAGCTAAAACATTACGAAGTGAACGACTTGCGAATATTACATAAGATAACATATTCTTTGCAGAAAAAAAGAAAGAAAAAACAAACTCTTATACACTATAAAAAACGATCGATCAAAATAATTCGAATCCAATTGAGCAAACTCAAATTCAGTATTGCGTATGGCGAACTAATTGCTTTAATTCTTTCAACATAATTTTGATGGTCTTGCAATTTCTCTCTAATTGAGTAATCATAACATCAATTTGACTGTCCCGTAAAGTAACGGTGACTAAATGAGTTGCCAAAAATAGTAACGATTTAGTATAGTAAAAGATTTAAAACAACTGTTCTCTCGAGTTAAGTGAATTACATACATTATCAAAGAGAATAATATAATATTTTATTAAATATTTTCTTTAAGTGATATCGGAATAAATCGGAATAAATCGTTGATTTAAACAACGTTTAATCAGTTTATTCACAAAATTAACGATTCCAACTTAACAACAAAAAATAAAACAATCAACAACCCAAGATGCCAACAGTCAGAAAACCCCAAAAAAGCGGAAGTCTTGTAAAGTTAAACAGTTGACACAACCGAACATCATGAATAAGGTGAATTTCCTTAGCGGTAGTATTCCAAAAACAGTTGCATTTTTCTTAATAAATGAGTTAATACGACAATTCAAATTTATCAAAAATATGTACTCGTATTTTAAATTTTATATATTACTAGTTATAACAAGTCCCGAATAAAATTAAAAGCTATAATAAATGCTGAAACATCAAACTTTTACAAGTGTATTACTGACAGCGACATTTGAAATAATTGAATTTAGTGAAATCAAAGCTCTCTGATATACAATCAAATTAAAATGTGGGGACCAATCAGAGCTAATGCACATATAATACAATAAATATTAAATGCATATATTATAATACAATAAAAATATCAATTCTTATTATAGATATTATTTAACAAATTTTATCATTTAATCAACAAACCAAATTATGTTAATAATTATGTGCCTATATATTATAAATTTTTAAATATATTAACTTTTAGAAATATTGGATGCTATTATAAAACTGTAAAATGTTTCAACGCAATTACTGGAAGATTGGAATGCACAATCTATTGCAACTTTTTTTTTTATGCATCCTGAGCACGCCAAATGTTTTTGTCTAAATCTTAATTTTATTTTTTATTTCTTAATTATTTTAAATTTTATTTTCATTATTTATTTTTTTTTGCTGCATCGTTTGTTACACAGGGAGAACGATTTGGTTGAATCAAACAAATACTTCTTTGAAATGGATCAAGCAAATTTTTTGATTGATCGAACAAAGTTTTGTTTGACGCAAAAATATTTAGTTGCAGCTTAGTTGTAATGAAATGTTTTTGTTGCGTCAACCAAAACTTTGTTCGGTCAACTAAAATGTGTTTGATCCATTCCAAAGGAAGATTTCTTTGATTCAACAAATCGTTCTCTCTGTATGTGTTTTGTATAACATACTTTTGCATTACCAATTGGCGCAACTTTTTGATTTCACTCTTTTTTTTAGGAGATATTAAAAAGTACTATTTAAAGTTTTCTTAATTTCGGAACATTTTTTCCACGAAACGGATGTTGGGACGTGTATACTTGGTGTCTTTTTTACTTTTTTTTAATTTTAGGATTTCATATCTTTTTTTACACACACATATATATGTATATATGTATACGTGAACCAAAACTTTATTCAGTCAATCAAAATATTTGTTTGATCCATTCCAAAGAAATGTTTCCTTGATTCAATAAATCGTTCTCTCTGTATGTTTTGTACAACATACTTTCGCATAATAATAATTACTACGTAAATCAGTAATGGATTTTAATTGTGACAACTTGTGAAGTATTGCAAGCTTCATTGTAAAATATGTGTGCAAATTGTTCTGCATGTAACTATACATATTATGTAGACGATAATATATTCTTTAATTATTTTATAAATATCTAAATGTATTACCTACTATTAATAGTAATTATACCTTATTATTTTAAATAATACTATAATTACTACACTTACTATGAGAAGTAATTATAGTAATTATAGTAATTATATTAATTATTAATTACTATGTATACCATTATTTTAAATAATTATTATGCATACAAGTAATCAATGGATTGTAATTGTGACAACTTGTGTGAAATACTGCAAACTTTGTTGAAAAATATGTGTGCAAATTATTCTACAAACAAGTATATATATTATATATATAACAATATATCCAATTATTATTATACAAATGCACATATATTATCTACTATTATCTACTATTATCTACTATTGAACATATTAATAATATCTTATTAATATTATTTTAAGTAAGATATCTTATTATTATTAGATTTTAACTAAATGGACAGCAGGTGTTAAAGGATAGTAACCTTTGATTTTGAGGGACTGACAGCTGTATCATTTGGTACAGTAACAATGTTTCTCTTTGTAGTCGTCGTGCGACTAAAAGGATAGCAACCTTTGACTTTGAGAGATTGATAGCTGTACAATTTGGTACAGTAACAATGTTTCTCTCTGCAGTCGCCGTGCGCTCGGGATCGCGCCAGAGATGTCGCTTCCGAACAGCATCTCTGAGCGTTATCTAAAGAGAGGAGAGTGTCGTGAGCGTGGAGCGTCAGGTAGCTCAATAGTTTAGAGTAGTCGCCCGGCAAGTGAAAGACCCGGGTTCGAGTCCCGGCCTAGCACACCGCGCTCTCAATATTTTTCTCTCTCTGGATAGACCATAGAAGGAGGAGGGCGTACTAGGCGTACTAGGTGACAGTGGGACGCCGTCCGTTCGAGATCTGCATATCTTTTCGTTCCAGAAATGTTTGTCTTTCGAAACAATCTATTCATCGAGCTATTTCTTTATTACATCATATGTTTTGAAGTGCTGCATCGATCGAAATAAGTAATAATTTGAAGGAACACAGTCTGGTGAATACGCGGCGTGTGATAAGATTTCCCATTAAAATTCCGATAACGTTTCTTTAACTGCTTTTGCAACGTGTAGTCATTATTGTGCAACAAAATCACTTTGCGTTTTCTTTGAGCTGTTATTGGAAGTTTCTGGTTCAAAGCACAATTCATACCGATTGCCGTTGATAAAACTCATCAGTAACTGTTTGATTCGGTTTCAGCAGCTCATAATATACGATGTCCTTCATGTCCCACAAAATGCATAACAAAATCTTACTTCCATGGATATTGCGTTTTGGAGTCAATGTCCACGGTTGGCCTAGATCTACCCACGATCTTTTATGCTTAGGATTATCATAGTATATCCATTTTTCATCGCGTAAAATTTGATACAAAAATTGCTTCTTTTTGTGACGAAAAAGCAATGAAGTGCAAATGGTTGAACGATTCTGAATAGGCAATCCAGACAATTCGTGTAGAACCCATTTGCCTTCTTTTTGAATCTTTCCCATTGCGTGCAAACGATCAGAAACGGTTGATTTACCAACATTTTATGTTGTAGCTAATTCTTGAAGTGTTTGAGCTGAGTTTTCATCCAACAATGCCTGTAATTCGGCATTTTCGAACTTTTTTGGTTGACCTGAACGTTTTTGTCTTTCAAATCAAAATCACCACTTTTAAATCGTCGATACCAGTACTCACACGTTTTATACTCACACGATGGAGCAGACTCAGAATAAGTTTTTAAGATGAATCGGTAAGCTTCGGCCGCTATTTTCTTCGAATCAAAGCAGTAAAATAATAGATACCGAAAATGCTCTTTATCACGTTCCATGTTTAATCGCACTAAACAGTGTGTTTCTGTTTACGAATGTACAAGACACGTGTCAATTTGTTTATAGAGATGTCTTAACTTTGATATGACGTACCAATTTTCAAAATGTTTCCAGTAGATTTGTAGCTACAGCCATCTACAGTGAACCCTCAAAACTAATCGGAACATCTAATATTATTAAATAAAAAGTAGAATAATTAGAAAAATACAATAATGTTGAAAAAAATTATAATAACTTACATAAAAAGAATTTGGCGTGCCTTTTTTTAATATTACACCGAAAATCAATATAATATTTTGAAAGTCATTAAAATAAGGAAACCGTTTGTCTATAAAAAAAGGCACGCCACGTTATTATAATTTTTTTCAACATTATTGTATTTCTCTAATTATTTTATTTTTTATTTAATAATATATTACTAATGTATTAATAATATATTTAATTTATAAATATATTATATAGCCAAAACCACATATGTTTATAAAAGTAAAAACTGAAATAATTAATTAATCGCAAACCTCTTGGCGTAAACCTCTTGATATCATTATTTTTGTAGAGAGTATAAAATTGTCTTGCATTTTTCAATAAAGTATTCGCGAGAGTACAATTGATCTGAATAATGTTGTTTTAATAATATCTTTTTAAATATCTTTTAGCTGAGCTTTGTTGTAATTTATTTATAACTTTTTTTGTAAAGACAAATAATGTTAAGGCGCGTGCACTTGGTTTCTTTTTTTTTTACAATACTTTTTATATATTTATTTGGAAAACAGGTCACACACATAATTTTCAATGAAACTTATAGCACAATCCACTCTACCTGTACACAAACGTTGTATCATTGTTAATATTAATAATTAAATCAAGAAACATTAAGCATTAATCAATATCATTAACAAGAAATACAGTATGTAAACAGACATAACCTGTTATGTCAGCAGACTTTATCAATAGAACACGCTGCAACTTGATAATTAGTTAAACATACTTTGATAGTAAAATTTTCTTCTTCTATTTTTTTTTTGTTCTTTTTTCATCTTTTGTTATTGTAGCATTTTTCAAAAATGTTTCTCTCTCTCTCCTTCTCCCGCCCTCTCTCTCTCTCTCTCTCTCTCTCTCTGTTTCAAACGGCATCTCTGAGCGTTATCTAGGGAGAGGAGAGTGTCGTGAGTGTGGAGCATTAGGCAGCTCAGTGGTTTAGAGTAGTCGCCCGGCAAGCAAA